GTTGGAAAGGGAAGGGGTTTCTTTTAGCCTTGTCGACGGTTTCTTTCCGCTTTCCCTTCACTGTCGTACCATTTCTTATCTCTACAAACAGCTTCAGGTGCCATAATACCCCATATCGAGCCCCTTGGCTTCTTCAGACAGTCACTACGGCTTTCTGAGTAGAGCCAGCCACGAGCTTGAGACTGTTAGTAAGGGAATCCGAAATGCGTTGGTCCAACGATTCTGATGACAAATCAGTTAGCCAGCCCACCGTCAAACCACCGTAGCCCTCTCATCGCGAGCTGTCCCTTCACGTCAAGTGATTTAGTTAACGGTATGGCACGCGCGATACAGCTTGTTTTCGGGTGCAAGTTCAAAAATTCAGAACTCTTTTGATTGAAACTTCTTTTAGTATTGCTCTTTTTATCTAGAATTCCAACGATAATAAATACAGGTATCGTCTCCGCGGGAAAGAAAATTTCAGCAAAAAAGAGAAAAAAGGAGATGAGTTTCGGGACCATATATATGAATACATATATTTACCCAGGCTTAGGTCAATCTTGGAGGGACCCCTACGGTGCGGTCGTAAAGTAGATTGCAAGCTGCTCGAAGGAGGGGAGTTCTTGACATCTATAGAGTATTTCCAGACATAGAGGTTAGCGTGGACGATCCCTCGGGCTGTGCTTCTCTTTCTGGAGGTGGGGGGGGGAGGGCAATTTCCAGCCCTAGATAGTGGGCGTAATCGCCAGTAGTAAACGAAAGACTTAGTCGGGATTTAGAAATTTTTGGAGAAAATTTCTCTCACTGCAGGCCATCCACGGTCCGTTTCGTGAAACTTAGATATTTTTTGAATAGACAAGTTGAGGAGTTTCAATGAAAAGAGAACTAACTGGAGGGTTACTAAGGTAAGTATTATGATTCTATTAAACCCTAATTGAAGGCTGAACAGAATGTACTTTTTCATTATTGCACAAAAAGAGGCTTGATTGACAGTAAATAATTGATGATGCGATTATGTACAGCCTGAAATCCAGTCAGCTGCCATGGACACCGAAAGCAACCTGTGTAAATTGTGTTGTGCAGACTCCTTCCAAATACTCGTGGAAGTGAAATAAGTCCCGATAACTTCTAGCTAAGTGAACAACCAACTTTTCCTACTTTCCTTTTTTACGGACCATATTGAGGCAAGCACTGTTTTCCTCATCCTCAGAACAGATCTTTAAAATGACAATTTACTGTACAAATCACTAGAACAATAAATTACTGTAAACAAATGCTATGAAATATTGAATGGAGAAATAAATAGCATGCAGTTTCACTGAGATGTCAATTATGGCTGGGAAGAACCTAATGCGCAATATATTATGCCAACAATCACCGTATTAAAAACTAGCCTCCGTAAGACTGTAACAATTAATGAAAACGTAAGAAAGTAGTACAAACTAGAATCATAAAAAATATGTATCACTATATCAAAATATCGATAGAACCTATGATTAATGAAGAAAGCGGCAAGGGCTTAATTTGTACAAATAAGTAAGTAACAGCCCTTTCAACAAGTGAGAATGCAAATACTTGAGCAAAAATAGTCGCCACCGGCTTGCACAAATCATCGTTTGCCTGCCTCTACCATACTGTGCACATCCGCGATAATTGTTCGAGCAACTTCAAGAGCCACTTCTTCCTCTTTAAGAGTGGACTTATCCAGATACTTACGCAATTTTTGTCGAATCCTAGAAAAACCACCTGGTTTTTTGACCCTTGCGAACAATGAGCACTAAACTGACTTGGATGGTGTTGTGGTATCCTGTGCAAGCGAATCATCATACAAAACGCGATACTGACCCATACAATCAACTTCGGCAAGATTCCTATAAGTTTGGTAATAGGCCTTTT